CCATGGGTCTCCTCAAACTGGTGTGACCCCACCACCACCATGAGTGGAGCCCCATGGGTCTCCTCAAACTGGTGTGACACCACCATCACGAGTAGAGCCCCACATGTCTACTCAAACTGGTGTGACACCACCATCACGAGTAGAGCCCCACGTGTCTCCTCTCACCCCTTCTCCTCCCTCAGGTCCACCGTGGCATCAAGGGGGTGGTGACCGACCAGCAAGGAGAGCCCATCGCCAACGCCACCATCGTGGTGGGAGGCATCAACCACCACGTCAGGACAGGTAGGCTTGGCCCAGGGTGCACCTTTGGGGGTGGTGTCTCCATGCCACCTCCACCCCAGCCCACCCATGTCCTCAGCCAGCGGAGGTGACTACTGGCGCGTGCTGAACCCGGGCGAGTACCGCGTGTCGGCGAGGGCCGAGGGCTACAACCCCAGTGCCAAGACCTGCCACGTCCTCTACGACATTGGGGCCACCCAGTGCAACTTCATCCTGGCCAGGTCCAACTGGAAACGCATCAGGGAGATCATGGCCATGAACAGGGTGGTGGCCACGAGCCCCCGGGAGAGGATGAGGATGAGGATGCGCCTGAGGCAGCGCATGAGGTTGAGGGAGAGGCTGAGGTTGAGGAACCTCAACGTCACCGTGGCCACCACGACGGTGGCAGTGCCCTTCAGCAGCACAGCCTACGTGGCCTGGAGCCAGGAGCCACCCACTGCTGGCACCTGGGCGCTGGAGGAGGGCGTGGAGGAGGTCACGGAGGTGGAGGAGGTCACCGAGGTGGTCACCGAGGTGGTCACCGAGGTGGGGATGGAGGTGGAGGGGACAGGGACAGCTCAGCCCCTCACCACGGCCGAGAGCTACACCATCAACTTTGGGGACTAGGGACAACCAGGACTTGATGTGCCTCCAGCCATGGGTGGTCCTTGATGTGCCTCAAGCCATGGGTGGACACTCCTTGCTCTGGCTCACGCCACAGTTGACCACTCAGCCCGTGGTTGGACACAGAGTCCATGACTGGACACTCAAGCTGTGGTTGGACATGCTCCTTGCTTTGCCTCAAGCCATGGTTGGACACTCGGTCCACGGTTGGACACTCCTTGCTGTGCCTCAAGCCATGGTTGGACACTCAGCCCATGGCTGGACCCTCAGCCCTTGTCCTGCTCCACCATCCACCTCCAACCCCTTCCCAGTGCCCAGGGAGCTCCTCCAGGTCTTCTCCACCCCTGACCTACTGGTCCCAGAGCTGCCAGGGCTGTGCCATCCCATCCCTCCTGGCTGGGCAGGGGTGGTCCCACTCTCCTGGGCAGGTCCCATGGAAGGTGTTCTCCATCCCTCAACCCTTCCCACAGGGCTTGGGGACAAATAAAGCCACTCATATTGGTACCAACATCTCCTCCCTCTGTGCCACCACCACCATGGGGGGTTGGACACTCAGCCCTTGCTCTGTCCCAAGCCATGGGTAGACCCTCAAACCATGGGTGGACCCTCAAACCATGGGTGGACACTCACACAAGTCTTGTTAGCCAAACCAACCAAGTTGTATTGCCACGAACATCTCCCAGAGCTCCTCGTGGTGACCTCCAGGCCCTGCTGAAGGCCTGAGGAGCTGCTCAGAGCCCAAGGTCCATGTCCCCACCGTCCTCCTCGGCCCCGAAGCCGGAGCAGGTGATGGCCTGGCAGGAGAGGTCGCGCAGGTTGACGAGACACGCGGTCTGGGTGGAGCTGAACTCGGGCACTGCCACCAGCAGCACCTTCTGCCCTTCCTCTCCTGTGGGCACACAGAGGGGAGGGGTCAGGGATGAGGTGGAACTCCTCAGGAGGAGGTCTAGGAGGTCTTGAAGGGGCTGCAGGACCCACCTTGGAGCAGCTTGGACTGGAACTTGGGGGCGTTGCCGCAGAAGTAGACGTGAGGACACTCGGTGAGGATGAAAGGGTCGGAGGTGTAGAAGGGGTAACAGCCTAGGGGGGAGGACAATTCAGGTGGGGTCTACCCCCCATTGGGGGCCAACCCCACCCCATCCCATACCCAGCGTGTCAGGAGCTGTGGGGCTGATGTGTCCTGCCCTCAGCGTCCACTCCATGATCTCCAGGTGGTCCTCCATGCTGCTGTACTTGAAGATGTCACTGATGTTCTGGCCTGAGGTGCCCAAGAACCTACATTTGGGGGGAGGAGAGGAGGAGCTGTGGGTGGCAGTTGTCCCCAGGGGTGGTGGGACAGCAGGACTGGGTTACCTGACGCCATCCAGGTCGGCCTGGTAGGGGTTGGTGACCAGGTGAAGGGTTGAGTAGGCACTGGCCAAGGGCAACATGCAGCGGTGGAGAGGCTGCTGGGGGAGGGTGTAGTTGGTGGGGTCAAACTCTCCTGGCATCACATCCACGTCCACAGAGCTCTGGGGGCACAGCAGAGGTCAACAGAGTGGTCAGAAGGTCTTCTGACCTGCCCCAAAGACTTGGGGGCAGCTCCTGTCCCTTCCCATGGTTGGCATCACCAGAAGGGTCAGATCCTGGGAGGGTCCTGAGCTGGTCTGCGGTGCTGGGCAGGGGGTTGGACACCCCCAACCACCTCAAGAACCCCAAAGCACCTCCCCAAACTGCCCCCCAAGAGCTCACACAGAGCTGCAGGAGGATCTCATCCAACATCTTGACGGCCTCCACGCTCGCGGCCTGCGTCTTCTTGGTCAAGTACTTGGCCTAGAGGAGTTGGGACACTGTGAGGGACATCCCTATGGACCTTCTGCCCTCCCACCCTGCAGGAGGTCCTGCCCCATGGTGCCAGACCTTGTTGATGGTGTCCCTGCCCTGGGTGTGGTGGCTGAGGAGGTTCCCTGCCAGCAGGACCCTGGCGATGAGCGCGGCCGCGCGTTGGTGGCCCTCGGCGCCCAGGTGACCTCCCACCACGTCCAGCAGCAGTTGGGTGCTCAGCAGGGTCTCCCCACTGCCACTGCCCAGGCCCAGCCCCGACACCAGCAGCACAAACCTGGGGGGGACACAGCTCCATGGCACCAGGACCATCCCAGGAACTTCTCCAGGGGCAAAGAGCCCACCCAGGACCACCCTACGACATCCCTAAACTTCTCAGGGGCAAAGAGCCCCACCAGGACCACCCCTAAACCTTCTCCATGGGAACTTCTCCAAAACTCCTCCATGGCATCAGGACCCCCAGGGACAAGGAGACCCCCAGGACCCCACTA